TCCCCGTGTCCCCATGTGTGTCCCCGTGTGTGTCCYCATGTCCCCACATCCCCGTGTCCCTGCGTCCCTGCGTCCCCAGGTGTCCCTGTGTCTGTCCCTGTGTCCCCGTCCCAGTGTGTGTCCCCGTATCCTTGTGTCCCCATGTCCCTCTGTGTGTCCCTATATGTGTCCCCATGTGTATCCTCGTGTGTGTCCCTGTGTCCCCATGCCCCATGTGTGTCCCTGTATGTGTCCCCATGCCCCATATGTGTTCCCGTGTCCCCGTGCGTGTCCCTGCGTGTGTCCCCACACGTGTCCCTGTGTCCCCATGTCCCCACATGTGTCCCCATGTGTGTCCATGTAAGTGTCCCCATGCCCCATGTGTGTCCCCGTGCGTGTCCCTGCGTGTGTCCCCACACGTGTCCCTGCATTCCCACGTGTGTCCCTGTGCGTGTCCCCATGTCTGTCCCTCTGTCCCTGTGCGTGTCCCCCCGTGTGTGCCCTTGTCCCCACAGGTCCCCACGTGTGTCCCCATGTCCCCACGTGTGTCCCTGTGTCCCCACACGTGTCCCTGCGTTCCCACCTGTGTCCCTGTGTGTCCCCATGTCTCTCCCTCTGTCCCCATGCGTGTCCCCACGTCCCCATGTGTGTCCCTGTGTCCCCGTGCGTGTCCCTGCGTGTGTCCCCACATGCGTCCCTGCATTCCCATGTGCATCCCTGTGCGTGTCCCCATGTCTGTCCCTCTGTCCCCGTGCGTGTCCCCCCGTGGGTCCCCTTGTCCTCACGTGTCCCCATGCGTGTCCCCACGTCCCCATGTGTGTCCCTGTGTCCCCGTGCGTGTCCCTGCGTGTGTCCCCACATGTGTCCCTGCATTCCCACGTGCATCCCTGTGCGTGTCCCCATGTCTCTCCCTCTGTCCCCATGCGTGTCCCCACGTCCCCATGTGTGTCCCTGTGTCCCCATGCATGTCCCTGCATGTGTCCCCACATGTGTCCCTGCATTCCCATGTGCATCCCTGTGCGTGTCCCCGTGCGTGTCCCCACGTCTCTCCCTCTGTCCCCGTGCGTGTCCACCCGTGTGTGCCCTTGTCCTCACGTGTCCCCATGTCCCCATGTGTATCCCTGTGTCCCCATGCATGTCCCTGCATGTGTCCCCACATGTGTCCCTGCATTCCCATGTGCATCCCTGTGCGTGTCCCCGTGCGTGTCCCCATGTCTCTCCCTCTGTCCCCACGTCTCTCCCTCTGTCCCCACGCGTGTCCGCGTGTCCCCACGCRTGTCCCCACGTGTGTCCTTAACGCGCGCAGCTGGGAGCGGCCGCACGTGCTCTACGGGCAGCTGCTGGACTGGCTGCGCTACCTGGTGGCCTGGCAGCCGCTCATCATCGCGCTCGTGCAGGGCATCAACTACGCGCTCGGCCTCGAGTAGGGCGCCCCACGGCACCCATGGGGACCCCATGGCACACACGGGGACCCCACGGCACCCATGGCGCCCACGGGGTCTCCATGGGACCCACGGCACCCACGGATCCACATGGGACCCACGGCAGCGCCGGGACTCGTGCAGGGCATCAACTACGCGCTCGGCCTCGAGTAGGGCGCCCCACGGCACCCACGGCACCCCCATGGGACCCACAGCATCCCCATGGGACCCACAGCGCCCACCGGGACCCACGGCAGTGCCAGGACCCGCGGCACCGCTGGACCTCGAGTAGGGCACCTGCTGGGACCCACGGCACCCACGGAACCACTGGGACCCATGGGGCCCCCATGGCACCCATGGCGATGCTGAGACCCACGGCACCGCTGGACCTCGAGTAGGGYGCCCACCAGGACCCACGGAACCGCTGGGACCCATGGGGCTCCCATGGGACCCACGGCACCACTGGACCTCGAGTAGGGCGCCCACCAGGACCCACGGAACCACTGGGACCCATGGGGCTCCCATGGGACCCACGGCACCGCCAGGACCCATGGAACCGCTTGGCCTTGAGTAGGGCGCCCGCCAGGACCCACGGCACCCACAGAGCCGCTGGGACCCATGGGGCCCCCATGGCACCCACRGAACCGCTGGGACCCCCATGGGACCCACAGCACTGCCGGGACCCACGACACCCACAGCCCCATGGTGCTGCTGGGACCCACATTGCTTGGCCCCACGGTGCCGCTGGAACCCATGGTGACACTCGGACTCACGGTGACACTTGGACCCACGTCACTTGGCCCCACGGTGACACTGGGACCCACGGTGCCCACGTGGAACCACAGTGACRTTGGGACCCACGGTGACACTGGGACCCACGGTGACACTGGGACCCACAGTGCCCACGTGGAACCACAGTGACACTGGGACCCACGGTGACACTTGGACCCACAGCATCGCTGAGACCCTCAACGTTGCTGGGACCCATGGCACCCATGTGGCCCCATGGTGCTGCTTGGACCCACGGTGACACTCGGACCCACGGTGACACTYGGACCCACGGTGACACTCGGACCCACGGCACCTACATGGCCCTGTGGCGCCGATAGGACCCACAGTGCCCACGTGGCCCCACGGCGCCCACTGGGCCCCACGGCACCCACGTGGCCCCACGGTGCCCACTGGGCCCCACGGCACCGCGCCGGACGCCGGGGCCCCCGGAGGGCTCTGCCCGGGCGGCCGCGGCCCCTCGTCGGGATTCCCTGTTTTTCCAAGCAATGGTTTTAAGGAGCCGGATTGGAAGTTTCTGTGGGGGGAAAGAGCCGCTGGGGGGGCGGGGGGGCAGTGGGAGCGGAGGGGGAATGGGAATCGGAGCCGGAGCTGGAATCGGAGCCGGAATCAGAGCCAGAACCGTCTGGAAGAGGGGTCAC